TGCCATTCTGCTTCCCTTTGTAAAAACAAGATTTATTTTAGCAATGAGATCAGTGGTAATATAACTCCAGGGGATCAATCTACTTTAAAGCAGAAGAAAAGTATATCTTTTTTTAATGCAAACATTTTAAAAGTTAAATGTTAGCTTTTGCTTTATCTATAATGTATTATATTCACATGCCATCTTGTGGAGTCTATTGAAAATTAATATTCTACAAGTATTTTCTTCCTCCACATTAGAGGGAGGCAATGAAGAGGTTCTACCATGTTAGGGAAGCTGTGGAATCACTAAAAGTATCTAGGGTCCAAATGTAAAACTATTATATTCATTTTCACTTTGTACAATAAGTCCCCTACTTATCAACAAGTTCTGTTACGGGAGCTCGCTCATAAGTCCAACTTGTTCATAAGTCCAACAAAGCGCTTGCAGCCATTGTCAAAAGGCACAGCGAGTGAGATCACAGCACCAATATTGCTTGTGTTTGTATGGAGATCTGTCAGGTTTTTTTTTTTTCCGTTCAGCCCGCTAGGTTACGGGTCGGGAACTCACTCATAAGTCCAACTTGTACATTAGTCCAACAAAGCACTTGCAGACAATGGCTGCAAGCGCTGATTAGTGTGTGCTGGCAGGGGGAGTCCCTGTGTCAGAACACAAAGGCACACCAAGGGAGATCGCAGCACCAACATTGCTTGTGTTGGTTTGGAGATCTGTCAGGTTTTTTTTCCATTCAGCCTGCAAAGTTACGGGTCGAGAGCTCATTCATAAGTCCAACTTGTACATTAGTCCAACAAAGCGCTCGCAGACAATGGCTGCAAGCACAGATTTGTGTGTCTTGGCAGGTGGAGTCCCTGTGTCAGAACACAAAGGCACAGCGAGGGAGATCACAGCACCAATATTGCTTGTGTTGGTATGGAGATCTGTCAGGTTTTTTTTTTTTTTTTTTTCGTTCAGCCCGCTAGGTTACGGGTCGGGAGCTCACTCATAAGTCCAACTTGTACATTACTCCAAAGTGCTTGCAGACAATGGCTGCAAGCGTTGATTTGTGTGTCCTGGCAGGGGGAGTCCCTGTGTCAGAACACAAAGGCACAGCGCGGGAGATCGCGGCACCAATATTGCTTGTGTTGGTTTGGAGATCTGTCAGGTTTTTGGTTTTTTTTTTTTTCGTTCAGCACGCTAGGTTACCAGACAGGAGCTCGCTCATAAGTCCAACTTGTTCATAAGTGGAATCACTAAAAGTATCTAGGGTCCAAATGTAAAACCATTATATTCATTTTCACATTGTACAATAAGTCCCCTACTTATGAACGAGTTCTGTTACGGGAGCTCGCTCATAAGTCCAACTTGTTCATAAGTCCAACAAAGCACTTGTAGACAATGGCTGCAAACGCTGATTAGTGTGTCTTGGCAGGGGGAGTCCTTGTGTCAGAAAACAAAGGCACAGCGAGGGAGATTGCAGCACCAGCATTGCCTGTGTTGGTATCGCAATCGATCAAGGTTTTTTTTTTCGTTCAGTCCACTGGGTTAAATGAAAAAAAAAACTGAGCGTGTGTACCCAGATTTACACAATTGGACATGCGAACACGTTTGCACGTTTGAAAGTTTGCAAGTTGAACGTTCATATATATAGTGGACTTACTGTATTTCAATTATTTCTAGCTTACTCCTATTACTCTGAATGATCTTAAAGTTTTTAAACTTACTTTGTGAAGATCCCCACACATTTACAGTATTTCTTGGAATTCTGTGGCTCGAATTCACTATGGCCTGTGAGTAGGTACTGCTGTGTCACACATTTCACAGAGCCTGTCTTCTGATCTACAGAGGTGCTGGGGGGAGGAGTTTCAGGAGGCGGAGTCAGTACAGGAATCCCTGCTTGCAGGCAGCAAGGTACCATGTGATGTGTAGTCCTTAGAAATTGAAATTAGACATCAGAGGGGAGGCTGCAAAGCATGCAGGGAATCCAGGAAGTTGTGGAAAGAGATGCCAAGCAGACAGGCAGCACTCACAATGTGAAAGTAATTTTCAAATTAAGTTTTTGTTGGATTGTCAAAAATAACAACTGTTTGTATTGCTATTATATTGCATAATATGACGTTCTCTGTAGGTACTACTGTTATTGTTTCTTCTTGTTCAATTTACTATATTCAGCTGCCAATCAAATGTGAAGGCAGAACTGGGAGGAGGCGCTTTATTCTGTGCAGTGATAGTGTCTCCCTCCTATTTATATGTAGGAGTATAATTACATACTAAGAGGGAGATGTGGAAAACCTCTGACCTCGTAGCTGTGCAGCCAGCAGAGACCATCCTAAGGGGTTATAGAGAATCATTGTTCCTGCACAGCAGTTAGGAAAACTTTTGAGAAAGCCACAAGATACGTATGGGGTGGATTTAATAAACTGGTGCACTTTAGAATCTGATGCCGCTCTATGGTAGCCAATCATCTAACTTCACCTTGTTCAATTAAGCTTTGATAATAAAATCTGGAAGCTGAGTGGTTTCTATGTAGAGCTGCACCATATTGTGCATGCTTTAATCTTGGTAAATCCCCCTCACAGGGGGAGAGTTACCAAAACTGGTGCAGGTTAGAATTTGGTGCAGCTATGCATGGTAGCCAATCAACTTCTAACTTCCTCCATTTGCATTTTGGCAAAATTAAGCTTATTTTCCTGATGCATTATGACACAACTTTTGCAAATTGCGCCAGCTTCTTGCCATTTAATGCCACACATTGCCCCATTACTGCCATCACATCCTGCATTTTCAGTGCCAATATATATGGTGATGTGCCGCCACATTTTTTTTTTGGGGGGGGGGGGGGGAGCATTGGGGGCAAAATATATACAGTATATACTTATGAAATGTTGTTTGGGTACCAACCCAGGTAAAAAACAAAATAAGCCATCTGCACCCAAAATTTATGGTAGCATGATCAGTTTTCCAGACAAGGAACAACCTTTCTTGAGAAATGAGAATTCTCCTGTGCCTAAGTGCAATGGTTCCTTGTCAGTTCCCTTTATGTATCTACTGTACAGTATGACTCAAGAATACACACCACCTTGCTGTCCTCCTAGGCTAGGGAAGTCCCGATGCCATTCTAAAAAAAAATTAGACAGGGTACACCAAAACAGGGGAGGACACCCTTGGGATCCTAGCTGGCTTACACAATTCAAGAGATGGACCCTCTTCTTCAGAGCCAAACCCTTTTTTGGAGTATGCTGGGCAGATTGAGCAACCTGAAGCTGACACTTTGTTTGATATGCTATATTCCTCATGTAGTTTGTATGTTTGTTTTTTTTTTTGTATTACTACTAAAAGGTATGTGGAATAATGCACTAGGCTGGCTGGTGCACCCTCTCTCTGTCTTGATTTCTTGGAATGCTCCAAAAATACCATATTTAGAAAACATTCCTATTTTATACTATTCTATAATAAGAGTGTTGCTACCTCTCAGATCACCCCTACACTAGTTCTCCTTCCAGTGCCGAGGTAGAGTGGTTTGGCTGTATATCAGAGCCAGGCACAGGCTGTGTCCTGAGAAGAACTAACATTCCCATGTGTTGGGCTCTGATGTGACAGCCCATGGCGATAATGGGGATCCACCCTTTCAGTTTGTCCTGTGTACTTTATAACCAAAAGTGAAAAAAAAAAGAAAATCTCAAATTTTGGGTTGTCACCTGAACAGCAATAGAGGGGAAATCTTCCAATAGGCATACACTTTTCTAGTGACCATGGTTGCAGCCAAGGATTCTCTTACACTCCCTGTTTCAGCTATGGGACAGGAAGTGACAGGAAATCTCACCAGTGGGACCCTGGAAAAAAACTGACGTGACTTATAACCCTTCTCTACTCTGTACAAAGTGAAAATAAAAGTTTTGTCTTTAGTTCTGCTTCAAGCAGAGGAATGTTTAATTATCTTTTTTTAACTAGTTCATTTGTGCAGCACTAAAGCTGTATGCATGAACATCTCTTGAATATCCATGGTTTACCAGAATATCTGCCTAAAGGGTTTTCAATATCTCATACATAAGATACTTTGTCTTATGTTAACAAAAAGTATGATTATGAGAAGAGTTTGTGTATGAACTGATATATCTACCTTTGCAAGAATCCCAATTTTAGCCTCACCCTACATGTATGTCCCAATAGAATACCCTTTTGTCTCTGCCATGCCGTTGGTAAAGAAAAAAAGGTTTGTGGTTTCTAACCTCCAAATGACGGTAAGACATACCACCTGCAATGTTAGCCTCCAACAGATGCACGTTTGTTGCCTGAGTTCTTGTTACATAGTACATGATTCACAATTTGTGGGAGGCTAAAATATTAAGGTGGAACTTGTCCCAAAATGAGAAGTTCCGATTATTTGCATCCTCCCTCTCCTCTTTTTATCATTTGTCACTTTTTGTGGGTGGTGGAGGACGAGAACCTGGTTTTTACAGGTACCAACCCCCCCCTCCCACCTCTGGTTGGATTGCCTTGGTGCAGCAGCCTTCTGGGACACATCACAGGTCCCTTAAGATTGCGGAACCATTCACAAGGCGCAGTGCAGCGTGCACATGCAAAGTGGGAAACCGGCTGTGAAGTCACAAGACTAGTTAAGATGCCAGCTCCTGGACCTGAAGCCGATTGAAGAAACGGTTCAGGTGAGGACAGCACTGGATCCCTGGACAGGTACATGTCATTATATAAAAGGTCCCAGCAGCTACAGTATTTTGGGGGGAGACTGGGGCTCCTCTTTAACTAGTTGCCAACCGCAGATAGCCGAATGACGGCTGCACTGCGGCCGGCCAGTTCTGAGTGGACGTCATATGACGTCCTCCCAGAACGCGCTCTCCTGCGCGCCCCACGTGATCAGCGGTGTCCAATGACACGCTGATCAGAGGGAAATGCAAGTGCCGGTTCTCGGCTGCACTTTCCTCACGCTGTCAGATCGTGAGGAAAGTACTGCCTAGAACCGGCAGTTGTCAGAGCGGGGATCGGCACCGATCATCAGGGCACTGATGATCAGTGCCCTGATGATCGGTGCCCAGCACTGCCACCCGCAAGTTCCGCCCACCTGTGCCCAGCAGTGCGCTCACTAGGTCCGCCCACCTGTGCCCAGCAGATCACCCACCTGTGCCCAGCAGTGCACCCACCTGTGCCACTCTGCAGTGCCACCTACCTGTGCCCAGAAGTGCCACCTACCTGTGCCCAGCAGTGCCACCCACCTGTGCCCACCCACTAGTGCTGCCCACCAGTGCCACCCACCAGTGCAGCCCAGCAGTGCTGCCAGTCAGTGCCACCAGTCAGTGCCCAGGGGTTGTGCCAGTCAGTGCCGCCAGTCAGTGCCCAGCAGTGATGCCAGTCAGTGCCGTCTATCAGTACCCATCATCAGTGTCACCTATCAGTGCTGTCTATCAGTGCCGCCTATCCGTGACACCTCATTAGTGCTGTCTATCAGTGCCGCCTATCCGTGCCACCTTATTAGTACTGCCTATCAGTGCCCTTTAGTGCTGCCTATCAGTGCCCATCAGTGCCGCCTATCAGTGCCCATCAGTGCTGCCTCATCAACGCACATCAGTGAAGGAGAAAAAATACCTGTTTGAAAAATTTTATAATAGAAACAAAGAAACTTTTTTTTTTTTTTTCCAATTTTTTTGCACTTTTTTTATTTATAGCGCAAAAAGTAAAGCGCCCAGTGGCGATTAAATACCACCAAAAGAAAGCTTTATTTGTGAGAAAAAAATGATCAAAATTTCATATGGGTACAATGTTGCATGACCGCGCAATTGTCAAAGTGCGGCAGCGCTGAAAGCTGAAAATTGGCCTGGTAAATAAGGGGGTATAAGTGCCTGGTAGGCAAGTGGTTAAAGCTGAACTTTATTTGTAACAACTGATCAAAAATAATGTTCTTTAGCAAGGAACATACATTCCACATTAATAATAATAATAATAATAATAATAATAATTAATAATAATAATGCTACAAAAAATAGTGTCTGCTGTAAATTGACTCCAATATTGTTCCGGTTTCTTCTTGCTGGAGGCTGCCATTTTGTTGAAGCCCAGAGCCCTGAGTAGCAGTTAAAGCAGAAAACCCTCCTATATTTTTCAGCCAAGGAAGCTGCCATCTGTTTTATCTGCAACTGCCATGGCGATGCATATATAATCCGTTATAATACCAGCCATTTGATGGTTTGACAGTTTGGTTGAGAACACAAGCAAATGTAACAGTTAGCATTACTGGTAGTTCCGATTTAAGATTTAGACCAGGGGTGTCAAACTGGCAGTCCTCCAGCTGTTGCAAAACTACAAGTCCCATCATGCCTCTGCCTTTGGGAGTCTTGCTTGTACATGTCAATCTTGCAATGCCTCATGGGACTTGTAGTTTGGCAACAGCTGGAGGGCCACCAGCTTGACACCTGTGATTTAGACTGTTGGCAGATCAGGCTCTACAGATTCAGCAGTGCCTAAAAATGCCTAAAAGTGGAGAGCAACTGAGCATGTGCAGAGCAGGATGGGACAGTGTATTACTGGATTTTTTTTTAACAGTATAGACACTTATTTTTAATGTTTTACTTAGCTATACCTGCAAATGGGACCAGCCTGAAGTGATCCAGCAAGACTTAATTTTCTGGCTAAAGTTCCACTTTTACCTTATGCTGAGCTTTATCAAGTGGAAGGCTTAACTTGTGTAGCTGCATTCTGACAATGCTTCCATGCCAAGGTATGGATAGATGCAGGCCTTCCACAGCTTCTACCGTGAACATAAATGCTGAAGTCAAATGAGTTTTTCTATTTAGGTAATGGAGAACAAAAGAAGGAGAACACAGGGACAGACGGTCCCTTGTTGGTGAAGAATTGTTTTATCCCCTAAACAATAGTTATGTGAGATTGTTCAAGTGTGTGTCATAAACACGCTATTATATTGTCACCTGATCGTGCCAAAAGCAGCCATACAACTCTAAAGATGCTCTGAAATATTTTTAAACATTCATTATGATTTTGTTTCTCCTATATGCACATCTTAGGTACATGTACAGTTGTGTTCACAATAATAGCAGTGTGTTGAAAAAAGTGAATAAAGCTCAAAATCCTTCTAATCGCTTTTATTTCCATACACACAAATGCATTGGGAACACTACACATTCTATTCCAAATCAAAGCCTGAAGAATAATATATCAAATTTGTGTTGTTCCTCTAAAAAAATTTAAGAAAAGTGAATATTAGATTGTTCAAAAAAAATAGCAGTGTTTGTATTCTTCTTTACAAACTCAAACATTCACTATATAAACTGAAAAATGTTTGAAGATTTTGCTTTCCTTTGAATCACTTACTTAATATTTCGTTGTATAAGCACTGTTTCTGGGAACTGCTGTACATCTGTGTTGCATGGAGTCAACCAACTTCTGGCACCTGTGATCAGGTATTCCAGCCCAGGATGATTGGACTACATTCCACAGTTCTCTATTCCTTGGTTTTGCCTCAGAAACGGCATTTTTGATGTCACCCCACAAGTTTTCTATTGGATTAAGATCCGGGGATTGGGCTGGCCACTCCATAACGTCACTCTTGTTGGTCTGGAACCAAGATGTTCCACGTTTACTGGTGTTGTGTTTGGGGTCGTTGTCTTGTTGGAACACCCATTTCAAGGGTATTTCCTCTTCAGCATAAGGCAGCACAACCTCTTCAAGTATTCTGATGTATTCAAACTGATCCATGATCCCTGGTATGCGATAAATAGGCCCAACATCATAGTATGAGAAACATCCCCATATCATGATGCTTGTGCAACCATGCTTCACTGTCTTCACAGTGTACTGTGGCTTGAATTCAGTGTTTGGGGGTCGTCTGACAAACTGTATCCAGCCACTAGACCCAAAAAGAACAATCTTACTTTCATCAGTCCACAAAATGTTGTGCCATTTCTCTTTAGGCCAGTCAATGTGCTCTTTGGCAAATTGTAACCTCTTCAGCACGTCTTTTTTCCAACAGTGGGACTTTGCGGGGGCTTCTTGCAGATAGCTTGGCTTCACATAGGCGTCTTCTAATTGTAACAGTACTCACAGGGAACTTTAGACCTTCTTTGATCTTCCTGGAGCTGATTGTTGGCTGAGTCCTTGCCATTTTGGCTATTCTTCTATCCATTCGAATGGTAGTTTTTCACTTTCTTCCACGTCTTTCAGGTTTTAGTTGCTATTTTAAAGCATTTGCGATCATTTTAGCTGAGCAGCCTATCATTTTCTGCACTTCTTTATATGTTTTCCCCCCTCTCCAATCAACTTTTTAATCAAGGTACGCTGTTCTTCTGATCAATGTCTTGAACTTCCTCAGAATTTCAGAGAGAAATGCACTGTAACCAGCATGTACAACATTTGCTGCCTTCCTTCCTTAAATAAGGGCAATAATTGCCACCTGTTTTTCAAAGAATGAATGACCTCACTAATAGAACTCCACACTGCTATTATTTTGAACATGCCCCTTTCAATTAGTGATTCAATTACACAGAATCAGCAGCATGCATGTCATGACTGTTGGGTCTGTTGGATTTCTTCTATTACTCTACTACACCTGCTAGTAAATTATTTGCCATGTAGAAATATCATTTCTACCAAAAACAGTGATTGATCAAGTTAGTGATGTCTGACTGCTATTATTTTGAACACAACTGTATGTTGCAATTGTATTTTTAGCAAGATATGTCCCGAATGTGAAAACTCCTACATTTTGAAACCGTGTCCCTCAGTAGCTCTAACTATCCAGCAGTTCAGTTTGGAATATGTCACAAGTGGAGAAAATATCCATTAGACATTAGACCCGGTGCAAATCACTTAGCAGCTCAGTTTTTTGTGTTTGACAAATGATTCTTCTTGTGCAGCACTGAAGGGGTTAAGAAGTGCTGCTCATGTCCGCCAGCACCCTGATGTAAAGTAGCACAAGCTAAGAAATTCTTCTAACAAAAGCAGCCCTTGGTCCATAAGTTACACCGACAGCTGAAATGAAAAGCATCTGTGTGTTCTCTTTGCTCTGTTTCTCAATCTCAGCTCACTGTATGAGAATCTGACCTTCTTACATGGATTAGAACACTGTTGATGTTGCAAGGAGAATAGAACTAAGAGGGGCTCAAGGATGAATGCAAAATTACCTTGTTCACTGCGACCAGCTACAGAAACATAATGAAAGCCAAATGAGTTGGATTGAACTTCTAATAGTCTAAAAATCAATAGATGCAAATAAAGAATAACAAAGGACACTAAACATGGGATTATCTGATCAGCCAAGTAAAAACGAACACATTTTCCATAGACATGTATTGTCCTAATTCACATGTATGATGCAGATTGTAGGATGAAGGCATGCAGAGCAGGTACTGTATTTGAGAGGTTCTCATAGGCCCCAGCCAGAGGCTTCATTCTGTTTCCTAAAACATAGTGTTTTCACACAAACTGCATTAGACTTGTCCCACAACCATAAAGGGATTAAAGGGCATTTACCAATATTGTTTTATTGTTCTTGCTCACTTTAAAAATTGAATGTTTCCGGATTATATATCTTTTAAGATTATAGATCTTATATATCTCTATCCATTCAGTCGTATCCGACCCTTGGCGATTTCATGGACCGTCACTCGTAAGCGACTTTTTCCATGAATTCTCTTAGCAATTTTTTTTACAGGGTAGGTTGCCAGGTCTTTCCCCCAACCCCTACCATGCAGGGGATCCCACATGGCCAGGGATGAAACTAGGACAATTTAATTGCGGCCATTTCTTGTTTTTATCCAGCCTTTAAAATGAGGCACTATTCCCCCACTGACACCAACATTGGGGCACAATTTCTGCCTCTGATACCAATAATGGGGCAATATTCCTCCCACTGACACCAGTAATGGGGCACTATTTCTTCTACTGACACCAACAATTGGGCACTATGCCTCTCACTGACACCCAATAATGGGGCACTATTCCTTCTACTCAGAGGCGTCCCTAGGGTTGGTGTCACCCGGTGCGGTAACACTTGGTGACACCGCCTCCGACGATCCCCGCAGAATTGATCGGTTCTGCGGATTGAGCATAATGGATCGGACTCCGATCCATTATGCTCAATCTGCAGATCCGATCCATCCTGCGGGGATCGTCGGCTTTCTTTACAACTTACCTTTTCTTGGAGCTGGTCCGGGACAACTGCTCATGTCCCGGTTTCAGGCACGATCAATCGATGATAGCAGTACTATCATCGATTGATCGTGCCTGAAACCGGGACATGTGTAGTTGCTTCAGGGGGACATATCTACA